GGGGGGAGAGAGGGGGAGAGTAGAAATTCAATTAGTGACTTTCCTGTTCAGGACCTTTTGCTGGCTCTGAAATATGCTTTTGTACCGTGGGCTTTGATTAAGACATCTTGCTCACCTGCTCCTGTGAACTGGATGTGACTTTTGCCAGAGCTGAGGGATCTCTGAAACTGTGCAAGACCCTAGTTATCTTCCCTGTCTTTAAGAGCAGGAATAACTTCATAAATTAACCCTCTGATTTCAGTAACTAAAAGTCAAATCCATGCCATGGGTGGCTGGATCATTTGGGACACGTTGCAAATACTAAATAATCCTTAAAGTAAGGGCCCTTCTTCCTTCAAAGGCCAAATTCTGTACTGTTAGCCTCTTCTGTTCTACAGCATGCTTTGTGATTCAAAGTGAACTTCATTTGTACTCTATGTAATCTGGCTTGTTATGCTATGTGAGAAACATAACATGTTTCTGGGGATATTTCAATACTTGATAGATGGAAGGAGAATTTCTCTGTTATTGCTATAACCCTTGTCTGTTACCTGCTTATTTGTTACATGTACAGTGGTTAATTTCATTACAGGTGTTACCTTATGGCACGTGTGTTAATATGTGCAAACATGCCTGTAAAACGTTAACAGTGTGCCTTTGTTCTTCTTCCCCATTATGTAACAAGGAAAAGTTTTACTTGACCCCAGGCAGAGTATTAACACACTCCTTTTTGCATTGTCCTGTGTATGTGAAAGAAAACTACTGTTGGGTCTTTGACAAACCTAGCAGAAAGCCTTGAAAACCACAGTAATTTTGAGGACTTTTAGCTTGCCTTTCTGTTGCTTTCATGTATGCAGGTTCTTCTGGAACTTAAGTGTCATATGAAACCATCAATGCCAAAAGTGCTTCTTGCAGATTCAGTTCAGCCTGCATGCATGCACAAGATGACAGTTCACTTCTTTGTGCTCTCCTTATGTGGTACTGCAATACCCCTTCTTTTATAGGGCTCATATGGGGAGAGCTGTTAGTATTTTCTCCGTGGGAATACATGTTGGAAAGTAATTAAGTAGCATAGGCTTGTTGAATGACTGGTGTCCACAGCCTTTTTCAGTGGGGGATGGATAATAAAGTCTAAATTCGCATAAAAGAGTTATTTTCTGCAGTGGGAGTCCTATGTTCTGTCTGTTACAGGAATGCTAACTTCTGAGCAAGGGGAGCCCTACATGAGCATCAGGCGTAGCACTAGAGATAATGAACTCCTTGAGTTTAGTGGACTGACTTATGAGAATTGAGTTGAGGTGATTTGGGCAGCAATGATGACTCAAATTTCAAACTTGACTCCCTATGCTAATGGAAGACCTAATCTGATTAAATATATTTGTGCTGGATTCTTAATCTGACTTAAACAGCCTAAACTAGAGTTTTAGTGACTTGTTGACAGGCATTTCTTTGTCCTGGCACAACAGATAAGCCCAAGTATGCCTCCTTTGTTTCTAGGGGGAAAAAAAATGAATCCACCAGTTGATAATTCTGCAGTGAACTGCTGTACCTCAAAGCCTGTCTCTTGCACATACCCTACTTGTGTTGCCTAAACCAAAGTAATTGGGAAACAAAGTTTTGGATTTCTACATTGTTCCAATAAAATGTAATTCCTGTATGCAAGAATGTGAACATCCTAATCCCTTGATCAATAAGGTTCATTACAAAAGGGTTGCTAGTTTCACAGCCTGGTGATTAGATAAAGTGGATATGAGGATGACATAACTTGGATATGCTTCCTTCACAGGCTGTGTAAGATTCAAGACCTGAAAAAATGGCATTGGCAGCAATTGATCCACAGCAGGTACATCTGAGTTAGCCCGGTAGTTTTTTTATGTCTAGTTCAGAAAAATAGGAGTCAACTAACCCCTTTCTCCTTTAAACAGAACATTGTATCAAGGGTTGTCAACCTTCCCTTGGTGAGCTCCACCTATGATATGGTGTCCACAGCTTATGTCACCACAAAGGATAACCATCCTTATCTGAAGTCAGTATGTGAGATAGCAGAGAAAGGAGTGAAGACGATTACTTCGGTAGCCGTGACAAGTGCTATGCCTATCATCCAGAAACTGGAACCACAAAGTAAGGCCAAGATGGAGCTGTTGATAACTTTAATTCAGCTGGTTGCTTTATATATGCAGATGCACTTACATTTTAGTAAGGTCATGCTGGTCTGGAGTGTTTCAGGTAGCTGACTGAAGCTGTTGCCTGGCTTGTTGAGTAACTGATTATGATTATTGATTATGATTTAACGCAAAAAAAAATCCAGAGCCAAAGCAAATTCCAGCTTTTGCAATACTGAACTTACTGACTGCTCTTGATATGCAAGATGGTTACGTAGTCTTGTGCTCAACACCTTCCTCACATTTCACCTAGTTTCAAATACTACTTTGTACTTTCTCTCATGAAGAACAAGTTGTAGTTAAATTTGGCAACTGTGTCACAAGGCTGTTGTAACCAGGAGCCTGGTTTCATGAGTGGCAGAAGGCCAGGTGCTTCAGCTTGTTCTAACAGTTGCTTGTAAAGTATTGAATGGATTTTCTCTGCCTGCAAGTGAGCTTTTTTCTGGCACTGAAAACCTGCCTTGTTCCTGGGCTTTGCTGCCTCAAATATCACTGAAAAAGGGAGGAAACTAAGAGTGTTGTTGCATGAGGTCTGTTTCAAGAGGATTTCTCAGAGTTATTTATACTAAGGGAAAAAAACCACCAAAATCAAAACCAACTATTGTAATTTCTTTTATAGTTGTAGTTGCCAACAACTATGCATGTATAGGTCTAGACAAAATTGAAGAGAGACTGCCTATACTGAATCAACCCACTGACAAGGTAAGCTCTTTCCATGTACGTATACTAAGCAGAAGATCTATACACCTTTCCTCTTCTCTATTGTCACTAAAAATACAGGAAGACAGATTTCAATAAGCCACACCTGAAGCACAGCTTAGAAGCAACGAAGCAGTAAAAGGTGTTTCTGTAGAACTGTTGGCCCTTAAGAGGCCATTAAGCCTATCTTTTTTAATTTGCCCACAATTTGGCATATCTGTCTGTAGCTGTGGTTGATGGTTGGCAGGTCTTAAAATTCGAGTCCTTGTCTGTTTCCTGCTCAGTGTGAAACAAGCAGTACTTGAATTACTTTTAGCTGAAGTGTTTCAAGCTGAAGGCTGTATGGCAGTCATATTTTGTTTTGTCTTGAACATATGTCTTCAGGGAAGAGTTTCTCCCAGATAACTAATACTTGTACAAGCTTTACCACAAATTTATATCTCCTGGATTATGTAGCTCTTACTAAAAATATTTTTAGTGAATCAGCCTGTTTCCTATGATAGGTTGTCGCCAATGCCAAGGATGTAGTTGTTGGAGCCAAAGAAGCTGTAACAACCTCTGTGACTGGTGCCAAGGAAACTGTTGCTCACACAATCACTGGAGTTGTGGGCAAGACTAAAGAAGCAATGCAAGACAGTGTAGAAATGACCAAGTCAGTTGTCAATGGCAGCATTAACACTGTCCTGGGAAGTCGTGTGGTGCAAATGGTGAGCAGTGGAGTGGACAGTGCTCTCACTAAATCAGAGACCCTTGTAGACCAGTATCTCCCACTTACTGAAGCAGAACTAGGTAAGACTAATTCAAGGTTTTGTTTTGTTGGAATGCTTATATTGGAGAGAAGCAAGCAATCATCTGTTTATTAACTTACTCATTGTGGGGAGGGGGCACAGGCTTCCCAAATTGCCTTTTGCCTTGCTGGTTATAATAGAATCTTCACAGGGAAGCAGAGTGAAAGTAAGGATTTCTACATATGGTGGTCTATCAACCTACTCTGATTCTAAAGGGCTACTAAAGTCTAGTATTCAGCCATTACTAAGCACATAAAATTGCCTCAGACCTCTTAAATTTTCTTCTACTGGTCAATTTTCTTCCTTTCTACATATCTAGAGAAAGAAGCTGCAAAAGTTGAAGGTTTTGAAGTTGGAGTTCAAAAGCCAAGCTACTACATCAGACTAGGATCCCTGTCTTCAAAGGTCCGCACACGTGCCTACCAACAAGCCTTAAACAAAGTTAGAGATGCTAAACAGAAAAGCCAGGAGACAATCTCTCAGCTCCACCACACTGTTAGTCTGGTAAGTTTAAGCTTTCCCTTGAGGTATAAAAAACAAGTGTTGGCATAGTTTCAGAGTGCAGAAAACAGCCAAAAGAGGCATAGAAAACTGGAATTGCTCTCAGATGAAATGCACTTTATAAATAATTTCCCACTCAGAGCTTTTCATGACCATTCAAGAGAGGTACTAAATCAGACTGAACTGTAAACTAAACAGCAATTGCCTGTAATTTTAAGCACTGCAGCAATAGAACTGACATGTTTAAAACAATATGCTTATTTTTGAGTGCTGGATTTGACACATACTTCATTCAGTGAATAAAGTGTCTTACAACTTAGAAACACTTCAGTCCTTTAAGTCCTTTTTGTTAATAAAATGTTGAATTCTTTGTGGGCTTGCTCTTCTTGCTGTGGGCATCTCTGAGCCTTCCTGGGTATTTCAGTAGTCTTATCCTACAGGACAAACTGTGCATAAAGTCATGGCCTTCTATACACTTTCAAATCCTTGTGTAGGATGGTAGTGTGGGGGGGTGGGAAATAGTTAAGGCAGAGGTATACACTACATAACATCTCAAAACTGCTTCCAGTTTTCTATTCCTTGAAGAGAAGGAACACATTCTTATATTCCCCGAATTATTTTATACTGAACTTTTAAAGTATTTAAAAAGGAGGTTACAAAGCAGGTAAGGTAGGGTGTAGCCCTAAGAAACTGTTTGGACTCTTTGCTTTACTTCCTTATTTGGCTGTATTTCAGATCGAGTATGCCAGAAAGAACATGAGTAGTGCCAATCAGAAACTTCTTGATGCTCAGGAAAAGCTTTATCAATCCTGGGTAGAATGGAAGAAAAATACAGGCCAAAATGATGATGAACTGCATAGCGCTGAGGTAAACAGATGTAAATGTAAACCGGAAATAAATGGATTGTATACTGTGAAGTTAACAGCAAACTAACAGTCCCCAAGGTGTGCAGTATGTTAACAGCACAAAAGCTTATGTGCAAATGTGGAATCTGAATGCTGAAGATCAGGTCAGCTGACTAGTGACTACTATGAAAAGTAGGGGACACCCAAACTCTTAAATGACCCTACTTCCTGGAAACACTCTGGGGTTCATTCTCCTTTCAAGAGAATGCTCATCCTGTTTAGCATGTGAATTTGTGTTGGGATATCCATTCAACTAGGAGTCACTTATCTGATATGGCCAGACCAGAAATAACAATTTCTCAGCATACAGCAGTTTTAGGCACAGACTCACTGAGTCTATATGTAGCTTTAAAAAGTGGTTCATTGATTAGAATATACCTACCTGCTGTGACTTGTTATCCAGAGTTTAAACAAGAGCTTGCTTATCTCTTGCTGGGTGGAAGTTTCTGTTCCACAAAGTACTTGAGCACTGAAGAAATATCAAGTACTTTCAAGTCTCTGACTCTTCAGACTTAAGACCTGTTTTATTATCTGCTATACCTTTACTTTACTTACATCCCCTTTACTTTGCTTCTTCATGTACCTTGAGCAACAGAAAACTGCTACAGTTGTAAAAAGATACTAATGTGCTGTTATGCTTTTTGTTTCCAGCACATTGAGTCAAGAACTCTAGCTATTGCACGGAGCCTCACTCAGCAGCTTCAGACCACCTGCCTCACACTGGTCTCAAGCCTACAGGGCCTGCCACAGAATGTGCAGGATCAGGTTTACAGTGTTGGGTCAATGGCAGGTGATGTCTACCAGAGCTTTCGGTCAGCATCCTCCTTCCAAGAATTATCAGACAGCTTTCTTACCACTAGCAAAGGACAGCTGAAGAAAATGAAGGAGTCTCTGGATGATGTGATGGATTATCTTGTTAACAACACACCACTCAACTGGCTGGTAGGTCCCTTTTACCCACAACTGCTTGGCATTCAGCATGCTGAGAGCAAAGGTGAAGGGGAGAAAAATTCCAGCCAGAAAGACAAACAGCGTGAACACATTACTAAAACTGCATAGCATGCATGTACTCTGCTGACAGACCAAACAAGTGGCCTTAGCAAGTGTAGCTGTCAAAAAAGCCTCGGTGAAAAATCCATAAACAGAGGAGTAGGAGAATGATACAGAGAAAGGACACTCACACATGGGCTGTATTGTCCTGTGTATTTAAGTCACTCTGAAAACTCAAACTGTCTTGAACACCTGTGTATTGGCAGCTTACAGTTGTCAAGATGCCTTGCTTGTCTGTCAAGTTAAGAAACCTCACCATGTTTATTATTGGTCTCAATACCATTAGTCTAAATGAAACCTATCATAGCTAAAAGAATTTTATTTGTTGCTTAATCTGTACCAAAATATAAGCCTGGCATACTATGAAATGCATTTAAAAGCCCTGCAGTCTAGCCAGGTATGCTTAAATTCCATGCTTGCTGCAGATCACACATTTGATTATTATGGATCTGACAGTCTCAAATTCTACTGCTACACAATTCAAGACAAAAGTTCTGCGAGCACATAATTCCAAAGTGGAAAGTGGGGTTTCTGAATGAATCAGCTGGAGTTACTTAAATGCTGTGACAGTGCTAACATTAACTGTATAAACTTAACTATTGTGTAACACAGTAATCTGACCACAGAATCATAGAATATCTGAAGTTGGAAGGGACTTGTAAGGATCATCGTGTCCAATTCCCTGGTCCTCACAGGACTACCTAAAACAAAACCATACAACTAAGAGCGTTGTCCAGATGCTCTTTGAACTCTGAGAGGCTTGGTGCTGTGACCACTTCCCTGGGGAGCCTGTTCCAGTGACCAACCAAATCATTATCAACACATTTTTTAATATGCAGTATAAAGACAAGATTCATGCTGTTTGTACCCAGGTGCCTGCTGTTGTGTGCCACTTTTTGTAATTCATTTTGTATGCTAGTAATAAATGCTTCAGTAGCCAACGTCTGTCTCCATTTCAGTGGTGTTTAAAACAAATGTAACTTGCTGTTCTGTGACTCCTTCAAACTGTGTCCAGCAGAAAGCAAGCTTGAGATGCAAATGAAGTAGACACTCATTGAAAATGTACTTGTGTGTGTGTGTGTACATATGCAGTGTTTCCTTCCTCCCTTTGTGTTAGTCTTAGCATTACTGCTGGTTTTTTGGTGCTTGCTGTTGCCTAAGCTGAAAGCTGATGTGTGTTCTAATATTGAGAAGAGAAGGATCTGGACAAAAAAACCCCAACCATGTCCTGCCTTCACAGTAGGTGTTCTGTGTGTGTAAGACTGCTGGCTACCTGGTTTGGCTGCTGGCTCCCTATAAACAGTATATACTTCTCAACTGCCAACACCAGTTTTAACCTGCTTAACTTTATTTACTTTCTTTTGAACTTGAGTGACTAATGTACATTAATGCTCAGCTACTTGGGTGGAATTGTTCCTCAATAAATCCTGTGAATCCCTTCCCGGAAGAGAATTACAGTCAGTAAGAAATAAGATTTCTTTGTTTAGGGCTGTCCAGGTAAGTTGTGTCTGTGTTCTTAATGCATGCCCTGTGCAACTTTTGAATTGCAATCTTTTAGTGTAGCAATGCTGGCCACTGTTTTCAAAGAGGTCACCAAATAGTGTGAAGCAAAAATGGAGTTCAAAGGAAGCTTGTCACCTAGTGACAAATTGCTACGTGGAACAATGCCTCTACCTGGCACAATGTGGGCACTAAAGCAAATGGCATGTAGTCTAGCCTTCCACTGTGAGAGGGCTTGCTTAGCTGTTAAGTCAAGGTTGGTCTAGAAGTGTAAGGAAGACACTGGATTTTAAGCACAATATTAAACAAAATTATAACAACAAAGGATTACAGGTAAAGATTCTGTAACTTCCAGCTTTAAACACTTATTTTTTGTAAGGGGACTGTTTAATGTGAAATTAACATGAAATGGTGAGATATTCCTTTACAGCTAGAGCCTGATTTAAGACTTCTGGAACTCTTTCAGCAATTAATTATGTTTACTTTAAGTATTGAATGAATCCAGCCTGAGAATATCCTTTTTTATCTCAGTGTGTAATAAAGTTTGTACAGTGCATCCACTGCTGTAGAGGTGCTCAGGAACAGAATGGGACTAACCAGGTCTGGGAGCTGCTGGCAGTTCAAAGAAGAAAATTCCCATTTTTATATGTATTTTAAAATCTGAAGGCTGTGGGGCTTCATTCTGACATGATCAATCAAACAAGACAGTGAACACTTTGAATATCCTGAGGACTGAGAAATACAGCACTATCCAGCATTAGTGCAAGAATAATACATCTCTGTTCTGCTTTAAGTGGCACTACTATTTTGTATTCTTAGATGGCTAACTCTACTAAATGTCAGCAAGCAGATGAAGTAGAAAGCAAGGAAAAATGTTACCAGCCTAGACCTTCACATCTTTTCTCCCCCATCATGCATTGTTGGGCGACTTCTGTGTAAAAGTTAACTTGACTTCTGACAGCTGACCTACAACTAGTAGCCACCAATAGAGGAATGCTTGGTTAAATGCTTACCTAATGGTTGGGCTAATAGCCTGTTATATCAAAATGCTGTATGCAGGTTCCTGTATTGTGATGTGTGGTTGTTTCGTTGGATCCTGCCCCGCTCTGAAAGCGTATAAGTTTCTATCCCACCCACACCCCCCAAATACTTAGAAACCCTTCCTTGGAGGAAAAGAGGCTGGGTAAGAGCAAATCCTGGTTTATTATATTGAAGTCCAGGATTTAAATTACTAGACTCTCCTACTAAGGACAGCACTGGTTATTTAAACTTAATTGCAACTGCAGCTTGCATGGGTACCTTCTTGCTGGTAATCTAGTACAGCATATCCCTAGGCTCTATTCTAATTACCAGTCTACAGACAAAAGTTGGTATTTTTTTTCTAGCACAGTTAGAGGCAGTGATGATTAAAATGCCCACTGGAGCCAAGAATGATGTGGACACCTTTCAAATCCATCTCTTTTTTTGCCACAGTGGGCTGAAGTGTATGCTAATAACTGCTGAAAATTCTCAAGTAGGAGGAAAACCTAAAATACTAAAAGATCAGAGCCTGCTCATAAATTTTTCCTGCTATCTTGTCTGTTTCTCTGTAATTGCATATATCAAATAGCTCAGCTACACTGCACAGAAACTTGCTTGCTCTTAGTCCAAAAACACTTTTGAGGATATGGCATGGGCTAGAGAGCTGTGAAATCTCTCTGGAACCTTTTAAAAAAGGTAAAACCAGGTATGTTGAAAAATTACAGGAAACAATTGATCCTATTTGCAACAAGGCAGATAAACTAGATGAAATGGAACAGAGTGTCAAAGGCTGCTAGTCACACAAAAACTGTGATTGTAAAGGTTAGAGTACTAATGAAGTAATTATCACTGGTAAAGTTATTTAGGGCTTATTTAGAATTCAGAAAATGATTTTTGCTCCTTAAGAGATCATTTGAAAAATCATTCATGGTGGTTGAAGCTTCCCCTTTCCAGGCTCACTTAACAGAGAACTATTATTCTATCATTGCTGATAATCCTTTGCTACAAAAGTTTCAAATATAAGCATTTGTTAATAGCTCCTATGGTACCAGTTTTTGCAAACATCATATTTATAGCAGGATACACATTGGTCAAATCCAAATAAGATTTGTATAAGTAAACTTCCCTGAAGTTGCAGGGGTATAGCTAGTTTGCTTTGAACTAAAGAAAGGTGGAAAGCTTTTGAAATCTTTCCCATTCCTTAAGATGACTTTTTGAAATTATCTTTTTCAAACTGCAGTTACAGTAATACTATATAGCTAGTAAAACAGGTGAAAGGGCTTGGAAACACTTTATGCATTATTTATTTAAAAAAAACCCCACACCACAACCAAAACCCACAAAAACCTCCCAACTCAAACTTACCTAAGCCATCTAATTAAAAAGAGAAAATGGAACCTAACTTATTAAGCGTGATCTGTGGTCATTTGCATGATCAGAAAGTCTTACGTGCAACAGCTTGCTGGAGGTATTGTGTGCAGTGTTTTGTTAAATGTATTTCTTTTCACACTAAGATGGAAATTTTATTTCTTTTGGATAATACAGTCTCTGATGACTAAAAAATAAGTGCTTGTTCTGAAGGTTCACAAAATAAGAACCACTTCAAATTGTTAGTGGCTCAGTTCTGAAAATATACTAAGCAAGAAAAAATGGATTAATGTAAAGTTAGTATTGACATTAACATTTGTATATGAAGACAGCAAAATACTGAAATATCTTTTGCACTATTCCATGCAAGAATTTTGCAAGTTTTGCACTATTCTGAGTAAATGATCTAACAGCATCTTACAGAGAAATGGCAGGAAGAAGAGTTGTACCTAGCCTTATACTTTGTTGCAAGAATTGACTCGCTGCTTTGCTTCAACTTCCTATCAACCATGAAAACTGATATGAAACTGAAGGTCCTTTACCTAAGCAAGCCTGTAACACCAAGGGCTTTGCATTGTTCCAGTTAGACTGGTGCAGAATATGCTATTCTAATACAATTCAGCATGTTCAAAACTGAGATAAACCATACTGACATCAACCCTGTTTACTCTGATGCTGACAGGCACAGTCCAATATGAAACTCTTTCATGGCTATGAACATCTTACTAGTACGGTAAAGGAGTCAGCTGCTTATAATGTATGCATTAAGAAGATGAAGAAAGCATAAACTGAAATTCGAGTGATTATCCTGTCATCAGTAAGAACAACATTGAAAGTGTCTTAAACCTAGGATATAGTGAAAATTATCACTGGTCGGATACAGTTAGTGAATATGGTTGTGTGCCCTGCTCAGTGTAAATACAGAATAAAACAACTTGTTTAAACTATCCGTTTGGGCACATTTTTAAACAAGTTTGCATGTGGACTACTTGGCCTTAGTCTTGTTAAGATATCCCCATTTCTGCTGCAGTATGAAATACAGGGTCATGTGCTGATAATGGGAAAACTCGTTGATTTCTCTGTGTGGTAATTAGAGTTTTACGTAAACTGCCATAAGCAGAAAGATGCAAGACAATTCTTGCTGGTAGAAAGATGTGTTTCCCCCATTCCTAGTGCCTTTTGGTTTTTTAGGAGACAAAGATTACTGATCTCATTTTGATCAAGCTTAGGTTCTCAAAGTGGTCTACGCATTTCATTGTATTCACACTAGCGCCTGATAAGTGACATGCTGCTTAAATTCTTCTGAAGCTCAGTTTTAATTAGTATTTGTAAGTTCCTAGTGTCCCATGGCTACTTAATCTCTAAGGAACTGAGTGATTCATGTTCAGTGCTATCTAAAACCTGATAGCTGAAACAGTAATCCCTTTATCCTTTGATGTGTTCTCTGTTCTTCTGAGATGTCTTCATAGCAGGCAAAGCTTAGATATGTCTTGCATACTATCTTTCGTAAAGTAAGCCATAAAGTGTTTTGCAGTTAGGGAGTGGATTAAAACTGCTCCTCCAGTCAGCACAGAGCTTAAGTTACACAAATGCCTAGAAACCTCTTCAGGTTGCTGCTTCTTTGTACGTGCAGAACAAAGTCCTGTCAGCATGTAGCAAACGTTATGTGCTGATACTGCGTGCCTGGCTCCAAGCATGTCACATCACCATTAAAGCTAACCATGAATCAAACTATAGATACAAGTACTTTTCACTTGGGGCAAAAAACTTCTGGTTATGAGTAAATTGCTTAATTATATCCCATTTTTCTGAAGTGCCTAAGTAATCTAAGTCCTACTAAGGGGACTTAAGGGTTGGGACTTAAGCTCCTAAGTGTCTTAGCCAACATTTTTAGAAGTGTGTAACATCCATGTATCCACTAATGTCTCTGGCAATTCCTGAAACCTGGTGCTGCTTAACAGTACAGAATACTATACAGTTAAAACAGAGGCCAAAGTGGGATTTCAGTTCCAGATACTTGTTTCCTCAGGAAAGGTTTGATGTGGTAGGCAGGCAGAGCAGTATAGAGCAATCCATATCAAGCTCCTCAGGGCAGGTTCCTTTGTATAGCCCATCGCTTCCAAGGAAAGAAGAAAAGCAAAATAAGTTAAGAAAACCTTCCTTTCTTAATTTTCCGGTCACTGGTTTCACTACACTAAGTTCAGCTCTGTTCCATCTCTACTATAAAATCCTGTCTTCTAAGCAACTGATCTACATATTCCATAGTATTTGGCGTGTCTTAATGCTGTATGTTTCGTATGTGACTAAGCATATTCTGCTTTGTATTCATTTTGTGTCTGATTTCTAGAGATGCTGAGCATCTTTATCTCCTGACTTCACTAAGGAATACTGCACAAATTTATTTAGTTTTACTTTTAAATTGATTGAAATTTCATTCCTACACAGGTTCCAGATTTCACTATTACAGACCTGTCTTCAGAGTCAGATGATATCCCAGATATTTTGGATTTGGATGAAGATGATCAACAAGATTTTTCACGCACAAATGGCCCTTACACTACAGGGCAAAGAGCTGAATAAAGAGAAGCATAAAAATGTCTTTTTCATGCAATGTACTTTTGCCATGCTTAACTTGTATTTCTCCTTTTTAAAGATGAACCTGACTAGCTTAGAGATTATGGGGATATTTTTTTTTAAATAACTACTGTTTTACTTAGCTGCATCAAAATTCTGGGTTTTTTTTTCCACCTAATGAATGTGTGCTATATTAATTCATTAGCCCGGGTGTCACGCTCCCACTCTACAAGCCAGGTATAGCCTAACCAGTATATGCAACTGATCTAATCTTTGTTAATGATTTGTTCTCTCACTGGCAGCAGCCACAAGAACACTCTAGTGCTTTGCGTAAAGGGCTGCCAACAAAAAGAGTTGATGAGGATTTGCCCACAAAATTTTTCCTTTCAGTCTCCAGGAAAGGCACTTCTGCATCTACCTCTTTGCTGCTGGAAGGAATAAGAGAGTTTATGCTATCAGGTGTGGGGCCTGAGACTACAAGAGGGTAAATGCTTAAAAAGGAAAGTTTTCCAGGTATAAGAATAACAGTTAAAAAAGAAAGGGGAAGAGACTGTAAAAGGTAAAGAAGAAAGGAGGGCAAAGAGATACAAAGAGATGTGGGACAAAAGAAGATCGCAAAAAAAAAAAAAAGGGTACTTGAAGGTAGAGATACTTCTACTGACAGTGATCACTATTATGTTTAAATAAAATCTTAACCAAATATTTGCTAAGTAATGCCGAATCTGCATTTGCTTGCACACAGTGACTTCTGTAGGAGTTGGGGTGAGTGGGAATGGGACAGGAGGCAGGCTTGTTGCATCTCTGTCCGAGAATCAGGCTGAACTCCTCCTGCAGAGATCTCCTCGATGTCGCTGGGGTGACTGCTGCAAGTCTGGAGATGATGTAGAGTGCTACTTCCGTACAGCCCTGGAAATGTTACCCAGCACTCAGTTATAGCCGTGAGGTTGGTGCCTCTGCTCTTGCGTCATCTAACACTTGGTGGTTGTGAAAAGTTGAAGTCTAGTCACTGAAATGCCTTGGAATAAAAGCTTGAACCGCATAGCCTGCTGTCGGTGCGCCTTTTACTTGGGTTTCGTGTTAAATTTTACAATCCGACTACAAAATAACTTAAATAGGAAGGGCCTTCCGGATGCGTCCTCGCCCGAACGCTGCGCAAAGCGCGACGCCCCCTACGGTCAGCTCGCGCTGCTGGGGCCCTTCTCGGGGCCGGTTTCGAGCGACGGACCG